GGAGGAGGTGGGGGGTGTTGGGGGCAGGGGAGGTTTATGGGGAGGGGTCCGTGGCTACCTCTGCTGGCCCCTGGTTGCCCCCCTGCCCTGGGTTGAGAAAGGCGCCGCCATCATCCCCAACACCATCACCTACATCTACTACAAGGTGACAGAGGGGGGGGACACCAACTTGGGGGGGCACCAGAGGAGGTAGAGGGTGTTTGGGGCAGGGGAGGTTTATGAGGAGGGGTCTGTGGCCACCTCTGATGGCCCCTGGTTGCCCCTCTGTCCTGGGTTGAGAAAGGCACCGACATTGTCTCCAATGCCATCACCTACGGCTACTACAAGAAGGTGATGGTGGGGGGGACACGTACTTGGGGGGCACTGGAGGAGGTAGGGGGCATTTGGGGCAGGGGAGGCTCATGGGGAGGGGCCTGTGGCCACCCCTGATGGCTCCTGGTTGCCCCCCTGCCCTGGGTTGAGAGACACAGGGGTGAAAGGCGCCGACATCGTCCCCAACGCCATCACCTACAGTGTCCCCCATCCTCTCTGTTGACCCAAGTGTCCCCAACATCTTTGCTGTCCACTGGTGTCCCCTGTCCTCTGGGGGAAGACCCTCATGTCCCTCATCATCCCTGGTGTCCCCAGTGTCCCTGACGTCCCTCTTTCCTTCCCCCCGGTGTCCCCTGTCCTCTGGGGGAAGACCCTCGTGTCCCCCATCTTCCCTGGTGTCCCCAACACCCCTCTTTGCTGCCCACTGGTATCCCCCCTTCTTCATTCTCTGGGGGAAGACCCTCATGTCCCCCATCCTCCCTGGTGTCCCCAGTGTCCCCAACATCCATCTTTCCTTCCCACTGGTGTCCCCTGGGGGAAGACCTTCATGTCCTCCATCCTCCCTGGTGACCCCAGTGTCCCCAACATCCCTCTTTCCTTCCCACCGGTGTCCCCTGTCCTCTGGGGGAACACCCTAATGTCCCCCATCCTCCCTGGTGTCCCCAGTGTCCCCAACATCTTTGCTGTCCACCGGTGTCCCCTGTCCTCTGGGGGAAGACCCTCGTGTCCCCCATCTTCCCTGGTGTCCCCAGTGTCCCCAACATCTTTGCTGTCCACCGGTGTCCCCTGTCCTCTGGGACAAACCCTACTGTCCCCCATCCTTGGTGTCCCCAACACCCCTCTTTGCGGCCCACCGGTGTCCCCCCTTCTTCATTCTCTGGGGGAAGACCCTCATGTCCCCCATCTTCCCTGGTGACCCCAGTGTCCCCAACATCCCTCTTTCCTTCCCACCGGTGTCCCCTGTCCTCTGGGGGAAGACCCTCGTGTCCCCCATCCTCCCTGGTGTCCCCATCCCTCTTTGTTGCCCACCAGTGTCCCCCTTTCTTCATTTTCTGGGGGAAGACCCTCATGTCCCCCATCCTCTCTGTTGACCCAAGTGTCCCCAACATCTTTGCTGTCCACTGGTGTCCCCTGTCCTCTGGGGGAAGACCCTCATGTCCCTCATCATCCCTGGTGTCCCCAGTGTCCCTGACGTCCCTCTTTCCTTCCCCCCGGTGTCCCCTGTCCTCTGGGGGAAGACCCTC